GATGACAACAGCCAGCACTGAAATAAATTAACCAGCACAGAAATTAACCAGCACAGAAATTAACCAGCAGTAGTGCAGATTTACTTGTATTTTCTCAAGCCTGAGGACATAAACTATTAAAGCTGACCACTTCTATTTCATACCACATTCTGAGAACCCTGGATAAGGAGCCAAAATGAGTCCAAAGCATATTTACAGGACAGAAGGTACCCCAGATACAGATATTCATCAGCTACAAACTAGCATAGGACCTCTTTAGCCCCATACATAATTGCTTTTAATTTCATTTATTAGCATTGTTGGTGACTAAGTAGAAGGTTATACTGTGTTTCAGTAAGAGAAGACCAAAACAAGTCTTACCTGACAGGGCAGAGGGGAGAAAAAAAAGTACCAGTTCCATAAAAACACACCAAGCCCAACCAACTCTCAAAAACACCGAATCACAACTGTTTAAGTCCTCACTAAACAGAGAATGTTTCTTTAAATTATCTCAATGTCATGATCACTGTAAAATGTATTTCATTTTATTAAACCATCATTCTGAAGTATGCATTCTGCTTTAGGCTTTTTCAAAACAACATGTGTAAGACACTAAGTTCTAAAAATACAACATTTTCTTCCACATTTACAGAGGTATGTCTAAGACAAAATTTGCATATAGCCAACTGCTCAAATTATTAGATAATCATCTCACGTGACACCACACAAAAGCAGCTCACTCTTGCATACTTGGACTTTATTTTAAATAAAGATGCCATTCAAAATTAAGTCTTATAATAAAATATATAATAATAAATATATAATAATATGATCTGTCTCTGGCTTAATTCTACAGTTCAGGAACTAGCCCAAAACCAAATTATTTACAAATGTTGCTAAAAAAAAAATCAATAGAAATTTATTGCTTGGAAATGGATTTTCATTCATGTGGTTTTCATTTTTCTGAGTTTGCTTTTACCCTACTTTAAGCATTCATTCCACACTTCCACTTTGGGGGCAGTGTAGTATTTTTTTTCTTCTCCCTAAACAACTTGCTGCTTCTTCTCTTTGCTCTTGAACTTCATTCCACTTCTGGTTGTTTGTTGGGATCTGTTTTAAACAGGGGAATTAATATTAACTTTCCCCTAAAATGCAGCACTCAAACATTAATTCCACCACATAAAACAATTTGGAACTGCTTCTCAGACTGTATACAGGCATTTCAAAGTCAGGAGATTCTAAAACCAGCTGCACAGTCTCATCTCTTAAACATACTGAACCAGCTGGATTTGACATAGCTCAGCTTTGCCATTTTGATAGTGACAGCACCAAAAATCATGTTCTTTGGTGAGTACTGCTATTTGCACCTTCAGCTCACAATGAGAGCACATTGGTGAGGGAAATCAAGAAACTGCCCTCCAAGAAAAATTACTGAACTTCTAATAGATTTTGAAACTTGTAATTCAAATGCAGTTGGTAAGTAGGATCACATCATTAAACTACAAATTAAGAGAAAACCTTTGTTTTCTCTTGAGATTACAAAACAATTTTGTAATTAATGTTATGTCAACATAACACTATGAAAGATAGCAACAACTGTCTGAAGATCAAGTAACATCTGGAGCATGACCTCTAAAATTAATGCAATATTTTTTCATTAGAAAACCACTTATATTTGCATATACCTGTGATGTGTAGCTGAAAATTTTCCTATCACAGTCAGAACCTGCATATGACATCAACTTCATAGTTACCAACAAGATCAACAAAAAGATGCTTAACTTTTAGGCATCCCAGAGCTATCTGGTTTTACACGTGTTAAAATACCCATTTTATTTGCTGGTTTATCTAACTACCTTTTTGACTGCCACCCCTCAACTTTATGAGAGAACAACACAGCGTTACTGAAAGCTGAAGCCAAGCATAATTTGGAATTTTGAGGGCAATCTAACTCAACTTATCCTTCAAAATATGCAGCTACTTGTTCTTTACGAAGAACATCTCTCTCGGAAATATTCATGTTTTCACAATAATTTTTGGCATTCTGACAGTAATACCTATTTCTTAGTGCACATTCTATGGCTACTGAAGGCATCTGAAAATTTAAAATAGACATTATACTTCATTTATTATGCAAACATAAAACAGACGGACAAGATATAGAATTTATTACGAATTATGTACCTAAATTAATATAAACAATTTTTTTTTTCCCCCAACTGGCATGTGGATTTCTAAAAGCCATGAGAAACTACTTAAGCAAGTGCCTTTTGGATAAACTCCAAAGCAAACAAACCTGACAGAAAAGAAACTTTATAGACTGCAGATTAGTCTAAACAGAAACTTGAAAACAGTAGTAAGTAGAAAAGTACACACTTTAACTGGTTTGAAATCTGTACTTTGTTTACTCCTTCAAATGCAGCAAGGGAATAAACCATTTAATTCATTTTATATGAAGCAAAAAACATCTGAACAAACACCAATTATTTCGCTTTACAATTTAATCACCATAACCATATAAATGCCTATGCATAAAAAGTGAATTAACCTCACGCTCTCTAATTCAGGCAACAAAACATATTCTCACTGAAAGCCCTATGGGTCTTGCCTCTTCCTAAAAGCTTAACCAAACAAGAAATAATTCTATTAGACTGTAAATCCAACCAGGTCGACTGTCCTGGATCAATTGACAAGAGCCCTAGGGCTAACAGCCAGTCATTGGCCTTTGGTGGCATGCAAGCAGAATATGCACTAAACTTAAAATTTGCTCAACTTTACCAGTTTTTGGCTGTAGAAACAAACAGCACTACCTTGCAGAAAAATCACATATATTGACTCAACCCTATAAACAGATTTCCAGGTTTTACATAGCAACTTCCTTACTGTTAAATCAGAAATAGAATGAGTTCCCTCTGTAAAAGATCACAGAGAACAGCTACACTGAAAATAACTGGTCTGTAAGTAATACAAGAAGTTAAGACTTGAAGTCTAATTTCATAGCAGTTCAAGTTCCCTGTTAACCAATTACAATCCAATAATGGAAGCATTTACAATGCTTTTTCATTCAAAGTGTACTATTCTTCGGGGGAGAGAATCTTGTCACTGTAAAAACCCTATCTTCCCAACTGCTACAGAGGAGGTGCTGAGTCACAACCAGTAAGTCTTATAACAAAGAGGAAAGAAAAAAAAATGTTGAATCTGTTTCGTGGTTTCACCCACTATTCTAGGAACACCCAGGTATATTTGTGTTGGTTTTATTGGGCAATAGAAACAAGTGCTAACATTGGTGAAGCCTATCTTCTAAGAGTCTTTCCAGGTACCCTTGACAGAAGAGTGCCTACCCAGTAAATGATCCTCATCAAGCAATGCAATATCTTCAGCATGAAAATGAGCTGCTTCTGAGTCCTGCTACATTAAAGTAAATAAGGCAAAAGAACAAAGGGGAGCTACAAAGCAGCACCTCTGAATTGTAACTTGCCACACAAATACCTCCTCACACTGGTTGTAACTTTGGGGTTCTGTACTGAATGACCCATCTGTTAACTTAGAGAAAGCTGAAAAGGCTTCAACAACCAATTTTCAAACAACAAAGGAACAGACTTTTCTACCTGTTTGCTATGTGTAAAAGAAAGAAGAGCTTAAACTGTAGCAAGAAAGATTAACAGGAGAATTAAGTTAGGTCGTAGAAAAACAGTGTGTAGAAGAGCACAGCTAGTCGAGCTCAGGAAGAGATTGCCAGAGGAGATTATGGAATCTGTTGGGGTTTTTTAGAGAACCAGTCTGGTCAGAACTGGTTTGGCCATAGCTCATCCTGCTTCTGAGCCAGGGAAGAATTGGATGACTCTCACTCGTTTCAGACCTATTTTTATGATTCTATCATGTGAATATGAAAAACAGAATCATTTGTGCATCAAGGCAGACCCTCTGTTTCTGACGCTTCTTACAATTTACCAATCTGTGCCGTGAAATCTTGCATCAGCAACACATTAATCCATTAATTCATCTGTCTATATAGCACTTTTCTCTATTAAGCCCTTCTTTAAAAAGGAGGCATTTCAACCTTGACAAACCCAAAACAGCCATTGAAAAGACCGTTACAGAAAGACCTTCTTTGGTATCCCAAATAACTCTTGCAAAGCTCCACCAAGAATCAAAGCTTACTCTTCAAATAAGGAATCTGTTTTCAGTACAAAACACAGGCATAACCATCAGAAAAAGTCTTCAGAAGTAAGTGAAATCAAGTTTAAGAGCTAAGGAATACAGCAGTGCCCAGTGCCTAAACAGCAACACAAAGACCTGCAATAGTTCAATGTATTGAGCATATAACAGTAAAAATCTATATATGACTTGTATAAATAAATAAAAGTTTTGGCACCACATTTACTATGCACTCTCTCTTTTCAGTTCTCCACCATATGTTTTTTCCTTATTAAGAGCAGATGACCTTCCTTGCAGCAGTTGTTACGGTAAGCAAGCAATACACATGCTGAAATATAACAAATTTTTTAACAAAAATATTCTAGCAATGAAGGAAACAGGGGATCAAAAATAGAAAAACCTGAACCCTGGTCACATACAATAACACAGTTAGCATCTATGGAAAAAATGGTTACTTAATTAGAATCAGATGCTAAGAGAAAAAAGATGCCATCTTATCTGGCACACCTATCTCACCTAAAGAAACCTTGAAAAGAAAGCTTGAAAGAGGTCAGAAGGAGGACAGAGTAGTGACAACATGAAACCAAATGGCATTCTTTGCAATATTATTCAAGAAATAGAGCAAATTACTAACATCTTCCTTCCTCAGGAAAGAGTTTCCTACACTACAGAATTTTAAAAGGGAAAATCCCTAACTCACACAAAACAAGTCACAAAACAAGCCTATCTTCTCTCAATCCCGTGCTAGAATTCAGAAACAGATTTTCAATCACAACATATTTTTCTAATTATGTTCTAATTTCAACAGTAAAAAAAAGCAGAAGGCTAATGTCAGAATTAAAACGCCCAGACATCAGTCATACCAGGTACTGTGATTCAGAACCACAAGATCTTGTCTAGAACTTGCTGTGGAATATCAGTAAATTGTTTGCATTTTACACCTCAGTTTACCCTGCTGAAAAAAAAAAAATTAGCTTGTGTCTCATCAGGAAGTTTGAAAGTTCAGCCACTAGCTGCAACAGTCAGGAATACAAGCAGGGAGAATATTAAAACCATTATGAAGAAGAGTTGCACAGGCATTTCCAAATACATTCAGATTTCATACTTACTAAGAGCTTTATGCATATTCTCCATCTGAAGCTGATTTACCATCCTCTAGATTACTATCAGAAGGTGATAGCTTATATAAGATTAATTCACATTACATTACAGGCTCAGCAGAACACACACCTAAAACCTCAGTTTCTTTAATTGTGGTTTTCTTGCTCATTATCCAACAGTCCTAGAGCCTTACATTTCCACTGGCTCAGCATAGCTCATTCCACAGCAACTATTTTTTTACATATATATACACACACATATATATATTGGCCTTCTTATTCATGGGGTATTTGGATTTAGCACTCCATTTTATGACCCCCATGTTATTCTTGCCTGCAAGGCTGACGTCTGGTATTTGGGGTTCTCATGCTCCTATAGCCTCTGCTTTTTAATCTGCTATGTCAAGGTGTGCATTTCCACACTTGATCCCTTTCAGAGTTACCTTCTTGTCCAAAGTCAAGTGAGATGTTACAGTGAAAAGCATTTTAGAACCTTTGAAACCAAGAGCTACTTCCCTCTAACATCCCACATGACCCAACCTGCTCTTTTCAGCCTCTCGCAGTAGATTTGTTCTCTTCCACAGCAAATAAATTCAAGCAGAGAAAAAACAACACACAACTCTTAGCAAGGCAAAAGCATCTGAAATGCAAACCTTGATGTCAATAATCAAAAGTCTTTGTCAAGTTCTACTCTATAGTCTCGTTTCACTTTCCCTTCAACATTCCGGGATCTTTTGTCTATACAGGTTCAACTTCACAACAAATCCCACCTTGTTTTCCACACATTGACAAGAAGTGCATGTGGCACAGAACTTGCACAGTTTACACACACACTGCTGTGTTTGATACATTCCCTATCTGCCTGTAGCCTGCTTGTCACAGTGGAGACTAGGCTAGGAATAGAACAGAGTATCAACCTCTGTCGGGCCTCTAGGTATGACCCTATACAGAGCAGTTATTACTTAAGAGTATATAATCCACGGAAATGCACTGGAGTGTCTTCCATATAATTCAAGATGACAGCAAAATGAAGTAAGCAGATCTTCAAGAGGACACTAACACAACACAGGCCTGGCTAAGAAACAAAATCTCCCATGTTTTGGAAATGTATGCAGTTTTAGAATCAGGGAACAAATCGTCATCTGTAAGTTGAAGTGTATGTTGTCTGACTACATTACAGTGTGAACAGTGCTTTAAAAAACTGTTATTAATGGTATGTGAAGGAAAGAGATTCTAGCACACAATTTACCTCAAAATGTTTCATCTGCACACACACCCTTCCACCACCACCACTCACCCCAACAAACAACTGGAGAAGTAAAAACACTCTGTGCTAAAACTGGAGGCAATTAATAAAGCAACACCAAGAAACAAGTCTGAGGTACAAGGGAAGTGAGTTGTAGAGAATAAAAAACATTATTTTTGTCAGTGGCAAGAAGTCTGATCTAACAGAGAACACCAGGATGAAGTAGAATGACATCAGAGAGGTGAAGAACACAAATGTGATGCTTAAGGGACAACTGAACAGGATGGGAGTGTAGGAAATAGATAAAATAATGAATAACTGAACTGTGGCATGAAAGAGAAAAGACAGGGACAAACATTAGCAGATTACATCGAGGTAATTCCATAAGTAGGTGAACCAAAAAAACTTAAACATGCAGAACCACACCACCTGGCTGATGTTCAGTTTTGAGGAGGAGAGGACGGAGTTATGCATGTTTCCCAAACCACCGCCACAGAGCGGTCAGAGATTAAGAGTATTTGGCTTCAACCTTGTGCTAGCTAGAAATGCTGCAAATGAAATCACCTCTGTGCAGTCTTGCAGCTCTTCTGCCATGTCTTTTTATCTCAAACAGGACATACAGATGTATTTCATATGACTTGGCCTGAGGAAGGCCCCCGCACTGCACTACACGTTTCTCTTCAATGAAGAAGCAAACATACTGAAAGCACACAGGAGTACTGCTCCTCAAAGAGTAAGAAGATAAGCAAAAAGGGTAGGTTATGTTTTGGCCTGAGGTGCAATATTTAATAAAATAACTGCACAACAGATAATTTGTGCTCATGCGCTCTTAATGAGGACATCAAAAGGGTTGAGTCAAACAAGGTGGGTCTAGCATTTTAGTATTAAATACAGCTGTTAGTATTAAATAAGAGCTAAGAAATTGAAGTTGCAAGTTTGGGAAGCCTTGGAACAAATACTGCTGCAAATGGAGGTACAAGACATTTGCCTACATTCACATAGGCAATTGTGACAATACCAGAAACAGAATTTTACAGTCTTGGTTATAGCATGCCATGTGATAGCTTTCCAGGACACAAGACATCCTTGGTATCACTTCTCACATCTTACCAGTTCCTAGAAGTCTATTGCCCAGAATGGCATTTGAGATGCTAATACACTTAATCACTCAAAAGCTACCTTTTCAAATATAAGTATGTATATTTATACACATTCATACCAGTGGAAACATTGTACGAAGTTACAGTATTTATTAAACACTGTCATTTTCTACTCTTCAACAACATAACACCCAGCAACATAAATCCATTAAAAATTCAATGCAAATTTGTACTATATAAATCCTTGCCAATAAAAATGAAGTGGCACTCTTCAAAGGTCTTCATATTACAGAATATAAGTAAGTTTAAGATCTGTGTGAAATATAATCAAACTGATCAAAATACAAACATTGCAATACAAGGCTGATCTAAAAAGGGCTTTTTACTTTAAAAGGATCTAAAGGATGCTGTAGAACAGCCTTCCCAAAAGCATTTATGGCTTTAATTACACATGGACACAATCTCAAAGCATTTTGAAGACAGCAGACTATAATTATAAAAAAGCTGTAGCAGCAAGAAATTCAGCAGACCACTTTCAAAACTAACTTCAACACCTGAGTAAACATTTTCAAATTTATGGCGAGGAGAAACATTAAAAACTCCAAGGACAGATATATACTAATGGAGAAAATCAGAAGGGTCTTTTCCGAAAAAAGCTAACTCATAACAGATGAAATTTTGTGGCATTTGATGCACTTCCTTTTTTTTTTTTTTTTTTTTTTTAAATCTATTATCCACTTGTATGACTTCTTCCCTTAAGAGAGACCTATTCTTGAACAAATGCAGGATGTCTTCAGAAAACAGGGTTGGAACTATTTACAGTAGTAATCATAATAGTAACATATCACTGATGCCCTCAGGATACAGTGCAAGCATATTCATAGGGAAAAGCAGTCTTTTATCAGTCTAAGGTAAACAGACAAGCTTTTCAACTCACAGTATCAAAACAAGTCTAAGACCTGATGAACAGACTGATCCCACTCCCGCTGTAACATGACGTCTTGTGAAAAAGGTAATTATCCTGCAAGAAATATAATTTCTAATAAAATGTGGTTGTGCAGCTGCTGTTAAAGGCAAACCCAGACCAACCAGAAACAATCTACAATTCATTACTCAAAAGCATCACCACTTTTGGGAAGAGTATAACAACAGAACAACTAATACAACTAAAATAGCTGTATGCAAATACTATAAATGGTATATACTACTGATACTTACTATTTCCACTTGCAAATCACCTGTTAGATTCTTACTTACACAACTGTACAAAGTAGAGGATGTGACTGCACACACACAGAGCAGTACATGCACCTTTTAGCACAATCATAGGGCAACCTTTCACCACAATTAGAATTGCCCAGCCAGACTCCAGGAATCCTTGCAAATTAACTTGATTTTTGCAAACCTCAAGGCTATGCACAGTCCCAACCTCTAGACTACAGAATGCGGAAGAAAAAATTCACTTTCACTGAAGAGCCATTTCTAGTCTTTTTGCCTCCTCAATAATTCAGATGATACAGCTACGTGCTGAGTTTGTACACTTGCCACTTAGTAATTCAACATGCCCCACTGCCGTCTTTCCGAGTCCACAGTCACAGGGCAGCTCAAATTTCAAGCATATGGTATGTTTTATAGGAGATTGTCAGGACTTTGAATACCTTTGCTTTGCAATGTACTTGCAATTTACATTTTAAATCTATCATTCATTTAAAATAATTAATTTTTATTTTTATAATTAAAGAGGCTACTTTGCAAACTGTACAAAAAAAGGATGTTCAGCAGAGGCCATCAGAAAAATTCCGTGCTCACAAAATCACCCCTTGCATCACTTGAGCCTACAGCAGTAGTTTATCTTTCATGCAGACCAGCCACTGAAGGCCAGCCACTGAAGGCAAAACATGACATTTTGCCAGTACATTACACAGCTATTTTCTGGAAAGACAGCAACACCGAAGATCAGGAATCCTGACTTCCAAAGGGCAGATGCAAAACAGTGTTTATGTACAGGATAACTAACCACATAGCTTTGATAAATACAGGTGAACAGCAACTTGTCTGAACAGGAAAGATTTGAGACTCTTGTAATGAGGATCTGGGCTTTCTTCCTAGTCCTCCCTAAAGTTAATGGTCTGTGGAACACCACTGCTGTTTTCTACAGCAGGAAGGGGCCATGGACAGTAGAGACTATCAGGAGGAACACAACCTGAGCTCATGGTGTCCCTAGTTCAGGACAAAGCTCTACTTGCAGCCTGCAAGTTTGTCAAACAGACATTTCATTCTGACATAAAGTAACAGGTCAAAGTGGCAAACCATACCTTTTCCAGTGATATCAATTAGTAGTTGCCAGAGGTTGTCAAAGGCCTGTAAGTACAGTGTGTATTACTTAATAGCTCAGGGAAGTAATGCTGTCGCAGAAGCATTTGGTTGGACCGACCTGCTGAGCTCTTTGAGCAGGTAACGTTAGCTCTGGCCACAAGGCGAGGCTGCTCAGCAATTTCGACTACAGTTTACTGTAACCAGTGAACTCTGCGAAGAGAAAGGGTAGAGATTTGTATTCTGATCCTCACTCCTGGCCCAGCCTTGATGATTTCCCACTTCACCTGTCCTTACTTTCCCCATTTGGAAAAAAAAAAGTCACAATTCTTTCTTTATTTCAGAAAAGTAGAAAGGAAAGTCTCATAGCAAAAAAATCCACAGTGTATCCAACATTCACATGCACAAAACAACATGTCCATCAGAACATTCTGCTGCTCTTTCTCCTGTTTAGGTAGGTAGCAATGCACACCACAACCAGCATGGTTCAAGCAGCTTGACTACAGATTTGCAACAACAAACAGGACATACTCCCATCAGCTGCAAGTCACTGCCAAGACTCTGGTGATAGCAAGCACCTTTTATTTAAGGCTAGAAGTAGAAAATATATTTGTACCTTTCCTTTCCAGCAGTCTACCCACAGAATATCAACAGTGATTGTGAATGGAATTGTCCACATTTCCCAAAGGGTAACACATAAAAGAATTTTTTCCTGCTGCCCTTTTGTGCCTTTGTTTTGCTGCTCATGTCAAGGACACGACATGGGAAAGGGAGGAGTAGACAGGATATGCTATATGAGCACTGTTATTACTTTAACTTTGCATTT